GTTGATCATCCGTATTAACCCATCTATCGTGAGCTGGTTGGACTTCGATAACCGGATCACAAGATACTCCATTGAGGCGCTGAAGAAGAGCCAGGAAGGAGTGGAGCCAGTCAAGCCTAGGACGATATTCGATGCGCTACTCAGCTCCAAAGTTCCTGAAGAAGAAAAGACGCTGCAACGATTGAAGGATGAGGGCACGCTTATCTTGTTCGCTGGTGTGGATACTACAGCTCGGTTTCTGACTTGTGCGATGTGCTACTTGCTCACGTATCCCCGTATATTGGCGAAGCTACGAGCGGAGCTGGAGTCCCACTCTGCGTCGACTTTGACTGAGCTCGAGGCTCTGCCGTATCTGGTAAGTCGATCGCTACACTCAGTTGTACCGCCTAACACAAACTAGACAGCCGTCATCAACGAGTCTCTCCGCTTCCAGTGTTGCTTCACAGGCCGCTTTCCACGCGTAGTCGTTGAGCCTATTCCCTACAGGGACCTGCTCATCCCATCTGGTGTAAGTATGACACTCATCTTGGGGCTTCAATTGTCTAACACTACCAAGACCATCATCGGCGCATCCCCATATCTACTCAACAACCACCCCGACGTATTCCCAGATCCTCACACCTTCCGACCCGAGCGATGGATCGAAGCCAAAGCCCGCGGAGAATATCTCGACAAGTATCTCGTTACCTTCTCGAAGGGCAGCCGCGCTTGCCTAGGCATCAAGTAAGATCTCATGCCATGTTGTACGTTGAAGCCATACTAACAGACTTTAGCCTCGCATACGCGGAGTTGTATCTCACTATCGCGGCCATGGTTCGGAACTTCGACCTGGAGCTTGTAGATTCCTCCATCGAGAACATCACCCCGGATCGAGACTTTGGTCTGGCTTTTGACAAGAACTACAACTTCGGCGTCAATCTGAGGGTCACCAAGGTACGGAAAGATTGAAGGGTGGGTGTTATGCAGAATGATCGGTATCTTGATGTATCGGGAGTACGTGCAGAGTTTCGTCATTTGCAGCGACTATCCTAAGCTTGCTATCACGACGGGAGCCATATACTCTACAGCAGAAATGACATCAGTGGAGGATCTTTCCATACCTCTCATCTCTCCTCGATAGTCCTAGAGAGCAACCAGTGTCAGACATAGATTCGACATGTTACAGTCCCTCGTCCCCAACATCAGCCAATCTAGCCTGCGCCGCACCCAAAGCTATTCATCCATATACCAAAGATCCTGCCCGCGAACCACGCACTTGTACTCTCAACTACGTTCAGTAGCATTGTCACAACAGCACTATATTGATATCAGCTCATTTCCCTTTGTTGCCTCTCTAGTGCAGCATGCTGTATCCTTAGCTGACATCGGAACACTTTGAGACTTACTCTAGCAGTTGTATCCGGTATGGTATCTGCATGTGTGCGCCTCATGCCTAGGGGCATTCGCGATTGGTTCTTTGTAGTAAATAGGTGGGAAAGACGGGGGATTCGGGATTGGCTGGTCTAGGGGAGGGGTTGCTGCGAGGGGGTGCGCAACGACGATTGTCGTAAACGCAAAGAAGAGGATTGTTGTGAATGCGAGGCGAGGCATGTTCACGATGAGAATTCTTGGAGACTGGAACTGGATGGAGGATATGGAGGGAAATGAGCTTGTAGAGCAGGGAACGTAGATAAAGGTAACAATCTGGAAAGCTACACCCAAGCGAGCGGAAGAAACCAACAAACAACCCGTCAAGATGTATCCATCACATCCCTATCACAATCACAATCACCCAGCCCAGATACCCATCCGCCCACCTCATCCAACCATGCCCATAAGCTTAACAAACAAGTCCCTCGCGCATCCCCTCAAAGGCTACTCCGGACGCACACGTGTCACTCTCTGTACAACAGCTCACCCGAAACAAACCAGCCAACCCATCACACCCCCATACAACTGTACCCGCAAGCGCCCTTGCACAGCAAATTCTTCTTAACAGCCTTGCACACCTGTTCATCGTAACAAGCACCTGTCTTCTTTCTTACTTCATTGGGGAGGCAGTGGTTTACCTATGGGAAGGAAATTGTCAGAATGAGGTTTGTCATGCGATAGGCATTTGTGGCGGGCAGTTGGTTTAAGAAGGGAAGGAGAGGGGGAATGATGGAATAATGGGATAAGAGACGTACCTTGGTGTAGAGATCGATGACGAGGGCGCATGTGTGACAGACGTTTGTTGGGTTGTCGGTCATGATTTGGCGTTCTGCTAGTTCGAGGGGGAGGATGGGGGTGGCGGTTGCGACGGTGGTGAGGGCTACGAGGAAGAGGGTTGGGAATTTCATAGTGGTGTTGGTAATTGGTTGAGTGCTTTTTCTGCGGTGGAGTAGAGTGGAGTTGAGTTGAGTAGAGAAGAGTGAGCGTGGATTGATGGAGCTGATGGGTAGCTGTGCTGGAGTATTTCAACAGGCACGATGACCTGGGTATTTATCCACCTACAGTGAATGATGGAGTTGCGAGTGCATTTCCTGTGTTGGTTAGTCTAGGTTTCTTTCATGTTCGTATCGTCTGGTAGGTCTTTGGGTAGGCCGCATGGACTTTCCTTTATTCGTCCCTTGCGAATTGTTTTGGAATGTAAGAAGCGACAAAACATACAGCGGATAGTATGGCGAGGATCGCCGGATCAGTATCGGTATCCGATTCTGAGTGGTAGTGATGCATCTCGTAGTTGTCCGATACTTCACACCAACAAGCCACCATGGTAGGATCCGCAGACTTGGCAATATCTCTTCGTATTATGTTGATTCCTAAAGTTCGAGCAACACGCTCTGCCTTCGTTCTAGTCTCGTACTCCAATGCGGTTTCTTTGTATGCACTTAGGCGTCTCAACGAATGTACTCATCTGATTGGTGTTGCGTTCGATCAAGATCACAGGTTATTAATCTTCGACCGAACATAACACCATAACCTGTGATCTTGATCGAACACAACACCAGGCAGACGAGCAGACTTATCGAAAAGCGTAGGCACACACGCTCGAAGACTCCATCGTACCCCGGCACGCCTAGACACACTTAACCACCCCGTCCACCTCTCTCATCCTGCATACCAATAGCTGGGTCGGGCGCCTCGGGAAACTCTTTCTTCGCCTTCTCCTTCCCACCAGCAGAGTCCTTTCCTTCAGTCGCATGACCACCGCTGCCCTCTTTTTGTGCGCTGCTTCATGGTATTAGCCGTATGTTGCGATAAGCCACGTTCGTTGCCTTCCGTCCCCGTATGTATGTTGCTGGAAACCACTCACTCTATGCCTGCCTTTGCATTGCTCTCCTGAACATTGTGTGTGTCGCCCTGCTTGACCTTCTCTTGTACCGCGTGCGGGCTATCGCTGTCGTATTTGTCCGTCTTGGTCTTTGAGTTGGTGCTTAGGTTGTTGGGGTATTGCTCGACGCGTCTTGAGGTCGAGAGGGAGAAAGGGCGTGCGGATGGGGCGGTGAGGCGGAGGGTCCTTGCGGACCGGATCATGCTGTTGCGGAACATGGTGGGTTGGCTCGTCGAGCTTCGAGCTGTCTTTTTCGTAGGTGGTGAAGGTGAGGAGGTTGTGTATGTGTCAATTGGGTCGATTTGATGATTGAAGTCAGGGTGGATGGATGTAAGGAAGCAAAAGTCTACAAGAAACCGAGGTATGCAAAAGCAAATGACGCATGACGCGATTGCACATTTCAGCTAGCAATGATGATGTATGACGCTCTCTCCAATTGTACCTGGCATGGCTGGCGGCATGCGGGTCATAGCTCCACCTGACGCGCCTTACCGCATGGAGGTGGCATCTACCCCTCCCCCACATTTCGCGATTTGAGCCTCATCGCGAAGACGGGCCCAGGCCAGCACCCTTGAACGATTACTGTGACGAAATCTATATCGAACAGTCTCAGTAGATTTAAACAAATATACGAGTCTTTCCCGACATCGCGCCCGCTTCAGTGTCGCACACATCACAACCAGCGCAATAAGACCATCACCAATATGGCCAACCAGAAAGATTGGAAAGCAGAGGACTTCCCTTGCACCCTGTACGCTTCCAGTCCATCTCAGATGCAATTCCCATCACTAACACTCCCATAGCACCCTAAACATCCCCTTCCCAACCCCGCACCTCGCCTCAACCGCCTCCCGCGCCCTCTCCGTCGACGCCGAACTCTCACCCCTCGTCCGCCGCGCATTCACGCTCACCACACCACCCTCATCCACATCCTCATCTACAGAACGAAGCGTCCTACAAGTAAACTACGCAGCAACCACGAACCGCATGTTGCGCGTCGCGGTAAACGGGTTCATCGAGAGCGTAGGCGTTGTGATTGGTGTGATGAAGGATTTAGACACGGATGTTGTTTATGAGGCTACGAAGGAGGGGTTGGAGGGCGTGCAGGGGTTGGATAAGGAGAAAGTGGGCTGAGAGGAGATATGGGGAGCGACAATATCCAAGTGCAGATCTGCAAGGCTGGAAGGTGCGATGCGGAAGACTGGGGAAGAATGGGAAGACGAGATAAGCGTTGGAGAGGCGACGACGAGGATGATGATGATGATAGACAAGCCCACTACACGCGCCAGGGGGAGACCAATCGATGAACAAGGAAGAATGCAAGTCGCGGATGGACAAGGGCTGAAGGTCTGTTAATCATGAGGTGGCCTCCGGGATAGGTAGAGGAGGAGGAAGTCATCTCGCATTTCATACCAAGATTATACTTCCTGCCCCACCGCAGGCTAATGCGGGTAGTTTATCATTCCAAACACCTGTGCGCTATCACCTCATATAAGGAAACAACTAAACAGGTCTAAAGCCTACATTGACATTAGGTCACCTGCTTCGCATGTTTTCACCTTGATGTAGGCTCCATAGTGTTCGTACTTCTCCTCGCATGAGGTGATATGCTGCAATATCATGCATATATACACATCCAATCATATCGCCATGCCACTCATCCTTGCTTCTCGTTCCGCACGCCCATAACCGCACTACCACCGCATCTTCATCCCTGCTCCTTCGCATCCGGCTCCTTGTCACCCTTCTCATCCTCCGCCTTCCTCTTCGGCGCTGGATTTCCTTCCAGAACTGCCATCTTCGCCTCTGGCACCATGGATGGCGCCACTGGCGCCTGCTCCGGCGGTTTCTCAGCCGGCATAGGCGGATACACGCCGTCATCTCTAATCTGCCAGCCATCGATCTTCAAAAGTTTCCACCTCTCCTTGATCTTGCATCGGACTAATTCGCCCGTGGTGCGCGCATCCTCGTAGCTGTCGTGGCCGGCAGCGCCTCCTTGTTGGATTTGCTCGCCAAGATGATCTGATGCTAGTTTTCGCAGGCCGAAACGGAAGGGGAGACCACTTGGGTTTGGATATAGGAGTACGGTGTCGATGATGGTGGGGTGGACGAGGCGAATGGTATTGAGATCGTTTTCGAGCGCATGACCAAGGACTGGGGTGGTGGGAGAGACGTGGGAGAGAAAGAGGTCTCTCGCTGCGTGGGGTGATTCGACGATACGGAGGTCTTTACGGACGGGTTTCGGATTTTCAGGGTCATATGGCTTCGCGTTCAGGAACTGGTCTGCGGTGATACCAGAGAAACGGGTGTTGAAGTCCAAGACGTGTCCAAGAGGGCGGACCAGTACGTCGACAAGAGGTTTGTGCTGTGGCCATGTGATGACTGTGAGACGCAGCATCTCAAGGCCATTGGTGGTATAGCCCATCTCGCAGTCGAAACAAACAGCGGTGTCCTTCGGTACTTTGTCGTTCTCCGGCGTTTCGATAAAGGGCATAATGAGTGACAGTCGATTTGGGTCTTTGATGTTGTACACATGGGAAGGATGCGTGGTGCAGCCCGGTGATCCTACCTCCCCGTTACAGCAACTGAACTTTGTAGGTTCTGGGGCGACGCCTCTTGTTTTCCTAGGAAAGACGCGCCTGCCCCAGTGATACTTGCACTGCCCTCCTGTTGTGAGCGCTCCATCTTCTTCTCGTCGCTCTGAGAAGACCTGGAATCGGGTGCTGCAACGGTCACATTGCTCCCAGCCACCAGCTGCTTCGAGCGCCAGCTTTGTCTCGTTAAGATCGGCCTCGGCAGGTACCTTGGTCACATAGCCGTGCTGGTCTAATCCATCCTGCGGGCACACAAGCCTGGGGAGGAACGTCATCTCTTCTTTCGCTGTAAGGCCCGTGTCTATTCTCTTAGGCGGTGCTTTCTTTGGTGGCTCCCCACTCTCCTTGGCTACCGCATCGCGCCGTTCCTTTACCCATTCCTCTGCTGGCATGCCTTTTAACTTGACCAATCGTTGCTTGAGTATGTTCTCGTATACCGAGGGATTTGATGTAGCTATCCTTTCTTCTTCGTCAACTGCTAGCTTGTTGAGCTGGTTTGCGGATAGATGCAGCGCTTTGATCTCAGGCTTGACTGCTTTGAGGAGCTTATCGTTCTGCGGCTTCATGTAGGAATGAAGCGCCTTGAGTAAAGCAACCCGTTTGGTGAACGTGGCTGGTTCTTTGTTGAGTTTGCGTGGCATCAAAGTAACAGGAACGTCGGGTTTGACGGCAGCCTTGGGCGCAGTTGCAGCCGTGGGTGGTGATACTGGCCGCGTGGCAGACTTAGGGAGAGTAGAGGTAGTGGCATTCGCGACAGATGCTTTAGGGGCAGGGTTAGCAGCCGCAGGCCCATTGTTTGTTATCGGTGTCTTGATCCTGGGTATGTCTGTGCTGACCGAGACATCGGGCGTGTTCTGGGCTGGCGTAGGCTTGGTGGTAGTGGGTGCTTTCTGGTCGTGGTCAAGCTTCAGTCTCTTCGCGATTGGCTCCGAATCATATGTTGCTGCAGCTGGCGATGGAGATCGTCGTGATGCAGTGGGTTTTGTAGAATCGTGACCGAAGATGCAGTGAGGCAGCTCACACTTTGCACCCGAAGGACATGCTATGTTGGCGAAGCTTCTGTAAGCTGGTACTGAAGGCCACATGACTGCTGCGCTTGCGACGATTCTTTCCTGTGAGTAGATCCAAGGCCAAGCTGTACGCGCCTGTGACCTACCAGCACGCTATATTAGGAAAAAACTGAACACTCTAGAGCCTACTTCGACGTTAGCTGGCCTACTTTGCAACTTCTTGTTTTAATGTAGTCTGCAGACCTGTTCAATTTTGTTTCTTGTTTGAGGTGCCAGGCTAGAGCTGACGAAGAGCCATACAGCCAATGGATGCGATTTATGGGCACTGGCCTTGGGTTTGACACCAGCCACACGCTTGATTGCACGATTTGGCAACGGTCTGAGGGAGTGATGGTCAAGCTTTCACCATCTCATTGCGCATAAAAAGATGGATGTAGATGCAAAGGTGGCTGGTATGACAGCCTGTGCGTTGAGAGTCTTCTTGTAGCTTCACGAAGGGCAGTGTTGTAGAGATGCGCTGCACCCAAAATTACCAGTAGTTCCAGTACGAGCTCCAGCTATCCCGAAAGAGCTAGAGCGGGCTAGACGGTGAAGGTGAGGGATGAGGTGAGATGCGCGTCTCAGCCCTGTAGATGTTTAGCGCTAGACGCAGGGTCCACGGACGCGGGCGGGCGAACTTGCGACGGCGATCCGCCTTAATTCCGTCATGACGCGGTGATGCAACCTGTGCGCATCTCACGGCCGCCTCCCTTTCACCCTCCACCCAGCGTCAATACCCATGAATATATGCGCAGATTTGCTTGAGTGAATTTGCGCATCTATACACTGAATCCTGTTCATCCTGCCACTTTCCGCGACATCACAAGTGTCCTCGTCGCATAGGAATTGCTTTTCGGACCGCGCGCGTCTCGGGTCACGCTGCGCCTTTCGGACGACTTGTGGACGCCCGAAGGATATACAAATACTGCGCCTTTCACCGTGATACCCAGACCAGCTAAGATATCTTCGACATGTCTACCTCCATGAGCACCTCTAAGAAAGCCGACCACCTGTGTGTCCTCGTTCATGGGTACGTCCCTGTCTCCGTCGCACGCCTTATCGCCTCTTATCATGACAAGAAGGAACACTGTCGCTGACCATACCCAGCCTCTGGGGCAAGCCTGAGCACCTCAAATACGTCAGCACTACTCTAGGCGAACGATATCCAGAGGACAAACTGCACATCCTCGTGGCCAAGCGCAACGCTGGCAGCTTCACGTACGATGGCATCGATACCGGTGGCGAGCGCGTGGCAGAAGAGGTGGAGAGGAAGTTGGAGGAGCTCGCTGAGGCTGGGCACGACATAACGAAGATGAGTGTTGTTGGCTACTCACTAGGAGGCTTAATAGCACGCTATGCAATCGGCCTACTCTTCCACAGAGGCATCTTTGAGAAGATACAGCCTGTCGTATGTGTCTCCATCATGCGCCTGTACTATTTACTAACACCACCAGAACTTCACAACCTTTGCGACACCACACCTCGGCGTGCGAACACCCCTCAAAGGCTACCACAGCCACATATGGAACGTCTTAGGAGCGCGAACACTCTCCATGAGCGGGAGACAGCTGTTCGGCGTAGACAAGTTCAGGGATACAGACAGATCACTTCTAGCCGTACTTGCGGACCCCGAAAGCATCTTCATCCGAGGCCTTGCCCAATTCAAGCATCGGAGTCTATACGCGAACGTCGTGAACGATCGAACAGTCACATACTACACCGCCGGTATCTCGCAAACCGACCCTTTTGTCGACCCGGACGACATCAAGATAAACTATATCCCAGACTACGAAGATGTCATTGTTGATGGCAAACACCCCGTCTCGCAAAAGGAGCCAGAGGAACCACCAGCGTTGTCGCAACGGCTGGTACAAGGTACATGGACAATACTGGGAAGGACTGGCATTGTCGCAGCCTTGACGGTCCTCGTACCGATCGGCGTGTCAGCTTTCCTCATCAACTCCGCATTCCAATCGATTCGCAGCCAGCAACGGATAAGACTGCACGAGGAGGGTAGGTCGGGCATCGACTATGCGCGCTATCGCATACCGCTCATGATCAATGCCGTACGGCGCGAGGCCGAGGGCATGTACGAAAATGCAAACCACGTCCAGAGCCAAGAATATCTGAGCGAGAGCTACGAACACGTAGGGTCTGCTTCTCCACGCAAGGACGAGTCCAGATCCGACGTCGACTCGATACAAGAGCAAAAAGAGAGCGCGACTCCCACCTTCCCTACGCTAGCTCTCACGCAAGAACAATTTGGAATGATCGAAGCGCTGGACAACGTCGGCTTCACGAAGCACCCGGTCTACATTCATAACCATCGACACTCGCATGCAGCGATTGTTGTACGCATGAACAAGCCTTCTTTCAATGAGGGTAAGGTGGTCATCAAGCACTGGCTGGACAACTTTGAACTATGATCAACCTGCGGGGGTTTACATTTTGTGTCTGCATTTACAGCGTGGCGCATGGAGTATCTTTGGGACGGCATTCTCAGGATATAGAAGCAATTTCCTTTTCGGCGAGTTATACCTTTGTCATTTTGTTCATGTACGTGTTCTTCAATTACGAATGTTTAATGTGTTACTACATCATCTTACGATAAGAACTAATCCACTGGTGCCGCTTCAACTTCATCTTCGTCCGACTCCGACTCCCCCTCAACTTCATCCAACTCCCCCTCCTCCCCCGCAAAACGAAACGTCAACCCCCTCACAAACCTCGCTCGAAAATCCATCCGACACATAATTTCCACCCTCACAACCTCATACTTCGCCGTCTCATACACCCTTAACGCATCTTCTTGTTCCTTCGACACAACCTCGTACGCGCAGCCCTCAACACACGTACCAGGGTTATCGACCAAAGCTTTGTACTTGCCACCCCACGTTCTGATCTTTCCTGAGTGAATCATAGCGGGGAGTAACGTGTGTTGGTGGCCTGGTGGCGAGTTGAATAGGTGGGCGAGGTGTGAGGGATTGGCTAGGGTGCCGTAGAAGAAGTACCATACTGGAAATTGGTTTTGTGCTGGGAGGTATTCAGAGTCGGTGGTGTTTTGGGGGCGATGGTGGGGTAGTGTGGTGTCGTAGCCGAGAGTTGGGTATGCGGAGAATGGAGAGAGGGTTTTGCGTGCGATGTTGATGGGGATGAACGTTGGTGAGATCGTGGGGTATGCCTCTGCAAGCCATTTCTTGATTGTTGGGATGTCAATGTCACGAATTTGACAGAATAGTGCGTCGCCGTCTTCGCCTTGGCCTTGGTGGATTTTGGGTTGTGTGGCGAGGATGGCGGCAGATGCGAGAATTGTGGGGGTAATGGGTGCAGTGATCTTGAAGAGGTAGTCCATCTTGCTCGACTTGCGCTTGGGGGTTCCATTCGCTGGAGTCTGGCACTTGGTGGCTCGGATGAGATCTTCTAGCTCGGAGGACAATTTGGGTGCTGCAGTATGATCAAATGGTGCGGCATCGCCGGTCAGTTCGTCCAGCGCGCTCATGCCTTCTAGATCTAGATCGTCGGGGTATTCCATGGTGTTTGCGGGATTGAGGATTGTATGAGAGATGGAGTTCTTCTGCTGCAGGCCGCGCCTTCACATGTTTTATGGATGCCTTCCCTCTTTTTGAGTCACAGCCACACGTTCTACCGCACCTTGGTTGCTGTTCGGTGTATCCAGTGGTACTGCAGTGAGCCAATAGACCACGACAAGCCACTAATAGCACCCACAATTCATACCAACACATACTTTGAGGATTACATTGTTCAGCATCACCCTGGGCTATCAGCGTGGAATCTACTGAATCCCTCCTAGGTGTCGCAAAGCTTGTGGAAACTTTTATTCTCGCAGGTTTTTAGACTCTAGCCCGATGTTCGTCGCTTACAAGATTGTCTCTATCTGCATTCTGCATGGGTAGCGAGGGCGAGTCCAGCGGCCCCGGGGGCAGCCACGAGGCTGTGCCCGCTTTACGCTAGGCTACAGCACTTTCGATACGGTCCTTGTACGACGCACCAAAAGCACTCATCTCTGAAGGCGTAACCGGAAAATTGTTTACATACTCTAGTACACCACCTTGGACGACTGGGAACAAGACAAGTGTGCGAGAAGAGATTATGAGAAGGTTTGAATTGGCAGGGCAAGATCATCGCGTACGTGCGACATTGCGCAACCAGTGCATCAGTGCTAAGCCTACGCCTACATACATAGACACGTCATACTGGACGTCCACCCCTATTGGTTGACCAGAAACGACATCACCTCGAGTAAACAGCAACCCAGATCACCACTTGAAGTCCCCACCCTCGATCGTGGGAAAGTGTCCCGAGGTCTCCTCCCTCGTGGCCTTGTCAATCTACGCAACGTTAGCATCAACTCTGCACAGCAGCCTCGCGAAAAACTTACCGTCGATACCAAAAAGTTGGCACTGTCCTCAACAGTAATAAACGCCTTTTCCATACCAAACGTCTTCGCTCCCTCGTTACCCATATCAGTCTGCACAAACCCAGGATCAAGCACAAACGCGGTAAGCTCCGGGTGGTCAAAGTGCGCCTTGCAAACCATCCAGTGCAACATGACTTTGGACATTCCGTACGCAGCCATGGGGAACGGACGGCTCTCCATACCGGTGATGCTAGCGATGGGAGTTCCGAGCGCAGCGAACTTGGGGTTGGAAGATTTGAGGAGCAGGGGCAGCACAGCTTGGAAGAGAAGAAGGGGTCCGTAGGCGTTTACTTCGACGTGCGACTTTAGCACGTCGAGCGAGACGGAGGCAACGGGAGCGTAGTCTGAGGAGATGCCGGCGTTGGCGATGACGGTGTCGATGGTGGTGATGCCTTGGCTCTTGAGTTCTTCGATGGCTTTCTTCGGGCCTTCGGTGTCGCGGCTGTCATAGGCGATGACGATGAGCTTGCTGTCTTTGCCCGCAGGGAGGGACTTGAGCGACTCCGCGGAGCTGGTGGTGCGTGCTACGGCAATGACGGTGTTGTTTGGGCGCGCCAAATAGGTCTCGACCATTGCCTTTCCGAGGCCTGGAGAATGGTTAGTTGAACATCGGATAAGATGCTAAGTCAGTCAGAAGTACCTCTAGCAGCACCGGTGATGAGGTAAGTTGTTCCTGCCATAGTGGAGAACTTGTCGCTGGGAGTTGACGAGTTCGAGGTCTTTTTGCTGGTAGATTGATCTGCGTTGGAGCCGACGGACTTGAAGCAGGAGAACAATGCAGAGAAGGGTGACATGTACGGTTTGCTTGTGGCTAGCACAGTTGCCTACTTAACCGTAGACGTACGATCATGTTTGGCCGAATTGATAAGCCAAACTCGAAGGAGCGCGCACGTGTGACACAGTTTCCATCTTTGTCAGCTCGGTCAATCGCAAGCGCGAGCAATTGCGGCTGAGATGTCAGCAGATACAGAGACAAAGACATATTGTGTTGCAAATGTGGACTTGATGCACGGACGACGCCGCAATTCCATGGGATGCTGACCTTGCATGATTAGTGTAACATAATCGACGGCCCGCTCTCCACGTTTCGGGTGAGCAACTTTCGACGAGTTCCGCTGGCCTGGAACGCTAGAAACGCCACACTGGTTGCCTTTGCTGATTGCCTTATATCGACTTCGCCGGGCGTTCAGCCGCGCATACCTTCGCCTGCAGCCCCCAATGCTCACCGGTACCTGTTGCCAAGCTGTATGTTTACAAATCGACGCGGAAATGGAAATGCGCGCGTGCGGTCTTGACGAAGCCGCCTGCTATTGCACAGAAGATGATCAAATTAAGGACCAGAAGAACATCAATAGTAAGCTGACCCGTGCCATCATTCTCAAAGTCGACATCCAATGGATACAACAATGTAATTAACGAAAGTTCTGGAACCTTTCTCCCAAGTCACAACAAGCCTACTCAGTTTGGCCTACACCGAAAGATCATCGAACCGCCACATTTAAGGCCACCATTGCTTCTCACGCCGCCGCCCAAGTGAGCTACGTCGTCCTCTTTCAATCAGGGCCTACGCCCTGCACAAGCGCCCATCGCTCGCCACATTCCATGCATCGCTGCCGACTATGGTGGGGCCATAGAACAGGTCATCTGGATCGTACGCCTTCTTGATCTTGCGCAGCTTGTCGTAATTCCCACCGTAGAAGTCCTCTTTCCACGTCGGATTCGCAAAGTTGGCCTCGTTCAAGTATGAACCGGCGCCTGGTGTGACAGCTTCGAGTTTGGGTATGATGACGTTGTTGATCTCGTCGATTTGAGCCAGGTTGAAATCCCAGGGTTGGTTGTACTGCCACTGTAGCTGCGCAAGGACGTTCATGTTGGCTTCACGCCACTGTGGGGCAACGGCGTTGGGTGCGATGGCATCTTGGGTCGAAGAGCCGACCCCAACTAAGGCAATCATTGCGTCGGTGGTTTCTGTGAGGTCGCGCAGGACGGATACAAATTCTGCTGTGCTGTTCTGTAGAACGGGCCGAGGAACGAAGCGCCCGCCACTGATTCGGTCTATCAGCTGCCACTCCGGCGGAATAAAGTAGATGTTGTAGAAGTCCATGAAAGTGGGAAAGGTGGTGACATTGACTGAGTATTCGAGTCCCAAACTGTCCAGCTTCGTCGTGACTGGTGCAATTAGATCTCGCACGTCGGCCTCGTCTCTGTCGGGGAGTACGAGAGGTGAAACGCTGAACGACGTGGGTGACAAGATGCCAATGGCTGTTGCGCCACCGTCGACGAGAGCGGGTATGTTTGAGAGCCATGCTTCAACACCCGCCCATAATGTGTCGTTGGATTCGTTTGCGTCCGCTGAAAATGAAAGAGAACCAACAGCCACGACACCGTCCTTGAACGCTCGCACTGTCAGTGATACCACCACGCCGTACGTTCCTGGCCCCCCGCCACTCAAGGCCCAATAGAGATCTTGGTTCTTGGTCGGGGTGGCGGTAGTCAGCGTCCCATTGGCGAGCACAACTTCCCATTCCAATGCCTGATCGGCCCCCATGCCATAGGTGCTAGTCAAGGAGCTGTGCCCTCCGCCTTGAGCAAAACCACCTACCAGGCCGACCGTTGGGCAGCTTCCGGAAACGATGCGCAGACCTGCCTTTGAGACTACGGGGAGAGCATCCTCGCCAACGACTCCAGCGCCCATCTTCACAGCGGGGCCGCTGTAGTACGTGCTGGTGTAGTTGCTGATAACTTCAACTGACTTGAGTTTGTGGGTCCACAGTCCAAGTGATCCTGCTCCCACGTTCTTGCCCATGAAGCTAGATCTGTCAGTAAAATTCTACACTGTGGGCTTGTGGTACTCACTCATGACCCGTGTTTTTGATGACCAATCGGATGTTTTGCTTCTGGGCGAATCGAACACCGGCCTGGATGTCCTTGGCCGAAGAGACTGTGATGGTGTACGGAGAGTAGTTTCCGAGTTCGCAAGGCTTCGAGCGTTCTGTGAAGGGGCTGCACGCTTCTGTCTGGAAGTAGGCGCTCTGCACGGAAGTCGATGAGTTCTCACTATTTATTGTGAGTCTGCTAGCATATCAAGAGAGATGGGTCATGGAGGTTCTTACTGCACTGGAGGGAATGCCCAGCTGGCTTTGAGAGAGTTGCATGCTGCTTCGTCATAATGCGGGTCATGACAGGGTGCAGCCAACGGAACGGTCGACACAAGCTTTCCATTGACTGTCTTGTTGAGAACATTCCACTGGCCAAGCGATGGCCAAGTGTGATCCTGAGGTAACTCCCGACAGCTTGGACTGGTGCACAGTGCTACGGCTGCACACATGGCATACGTGACAGCCGTTCGGTATGATGATAGAAACATGATAGATGATCGTCCCACGCCTGGATAAGTATACAGAATGTCGAAGTAGTTGAAGACGATGTACGGCTCCGGTCTGGACATCTTCATTTTATATCCTCTTTGCCGCCCCAAATGGCCTCCCGTCTTCTCGCAAGCCACCACTGTCTAGGACGTGTGGCTTGATAAAAAGGCATCCTGGTAAGATCGAGACCAGTGGAGCTCATTCAAAAGAAGGCCTGGATGTCGCCAGGATTGATCGTGGCAGTTGGTGGAGGCATGAACCTCAAGAGTTCCACCCTTTGATTTGGCAGGCGCAGACGCCCCATGAAGTCTTGGTACCAGATGCTATGTTTGGATGATGTGTATTCGTTGAATACCTCGCGTCGGCCGCCGCCACCACCATGATAGCTCGTCTGAGACCTCCGAGGCTGATTGCACCTGAACTGTGCAGATAGCATCCCGTCCCGTCGAAGGTAGAGCCTCGGTTCGTTCTCAGCTACGCGCATGTGGGTGTATGATACGCCCGAGTAGCCTTGACGGTAGGTCTAGTGAGCTCATATTGTCGGAAGCATCCAGTAAGCAATCCTCGCGGGCTGAGGCGTAACTCGGTCTGGAAACACACAATTCGCGGGGCACAGTCCCCGGCATGGGAAGGTCCCATAGTTGACTGCGTTTTCTACATCATAAGAGATAGCGATGCGTTGAATAGTCGTCAGTATCGCTTTGAAGTTCTCACCGTGTATGTGTAAGCTTGTGGATAGCAGGAGATGTGGCATGATGCGAAGTGGGTTGTGTTGTTGATTGGCCGCGTGGCTATCACGTGATTGATCTAGGCCAAAACAGCGTTAGCCCTCGGCGCTAGATAGAGAACCAAACACGGAGCCGGGCTGAGATAGCCCACCGCACTCGGCCCCGTCTTCAGCAGGTGCCTGAGACCCTGCACATGTGCGCAGTCATCAACGTGAGATCTTAGCCATTCTTGCTCGCTATATAGCTCAAGCCTCCTGTCCGCCTTACCCATAAGCTGGCCAGAAGAACCACAAACGAAGAGGCTTACCACAGACGAAGAGGCTTACCAACAGCCCGTGCCGTAACGATGCAACCCTCCATGGATGCCGTGGAACGGCGAAAGATACAGAACCGACACGCACAGCGGCGCTTTCGCAGTAAGTGGTTTAGACTGCTAGAAGGCCCGAACCAAGGCCGGGCCCTAGTCCGAGTCAAAGGCGCCCTCTATCCTCATCGAGGCCTCTGCGGCTACTCGGCCCTTTGATACTGACCGTTCGGGCACTGCAGGCAAGAAGGCGACTCAAAACGGAGGAGAGCCGTTCACGACAGCGGCGGCACCGTCCGCTGCAGCTACAGCGAGCGGGCCAACTATACAGCCGCGCCCGCAGTCAAACCACGATGTGCTGGCATGGGGCAGCGAGGGAAGGCTATCTTACCCCCACGCAACTGGACTACAGACGTCGGAGCAAGACCCGGTGCCCCCATCGACGACCGCCAATAACAGCCACACACTACAAGGGGACGCCACGATTACACTCATGAACATGACCGACTTCAATTTCCCGCCGTCTATGACGCAATCACGTCACGCTGTGCTATGGCCCCACGACACTCCAGCCGAGCCCATGGTCTTCAGTACCACGTGGCCTGACACCGGCCCGAGCCGCACCCAAAGTGGATCTGAAAGCAGTAACGATACGGTAGGTTTCGAGACATGTCATGAAGCTGGCGAATCGCTAACACGGGCGCAAGTCACAAATCAACACTCGTATAACCACCCCCAACCTCTTTGTCGATGGCCGCCTTGGAGGACAAGACAACGACCTCGACGACGACGAGCCCTTTCAGACGAACCTCCATATCGCGGCTGAGGCTGGCCATGACAGCCTTGTAGGCCTCCTGCTGGGCTCAGGGTACACCGTCGATGAACACGACAGGGTAAAGTAGCCGCCACGGATAGCTTTAAGAATATCTTACTAACTTCTTACTAGTATGTATCTCTCTTAATACGTTTTAGCTGCGCAGTTATTAAGGTCGTACTAAGATGTATCTCTCATAATACGGTTTAGCTGCGCAGTTATTCAGGCCGTACTAAGATGTATCTCTCTTACTGTGCTAACAACGTAACAGTGACGGCAACACAGCTCTGCATAGGGCCAGTCTTGGTAAACATGTGAAGGTGATGTTGAGGCTACTCAAAGCCGGTGCAAATCCCAACGCCATGAATGTTCACGGCTGGACTCCCGTGCATATGGCCTTTTCTCTCGGCTCGATGGAGGTAGTAGAAGTCCTGGTCCGAAATGGTGGTGATCTGAACAAGCGTGCGAAAGGTAAGTTGAGCTGTGACAAATTCAAGGAAGCTCTTGCAGCGAAGGATCGAGGGCTTTCGCTTGAACAATAGCCGGGGCTTGTCATCGCTGTTGTGAGCATTGGCTAAGGCTAAAGTGCGGTGAAGCAACACAGAGTCTGTTAAAGGTACTCATGACTTTTCGGGCTAATAAACAGTAAGAAATAACGAGTGGTTCAAGCCTGCACCTAAATTGTGCCTCCGAGCGATCAAGACTGCTATCTCCAGACACCCGCTCACTTTACCAGTACTCTCACCCCTTTGGTCGCCCGATCAGGAAACGGAATGAAATAATCGGCTTTCATCTCCACCGCAGCTCGCCCAGTCTCAAATAACTCGAGTCCGAGTCTATGAAAAACAACAGCCAGTCCAATATACAGCTCTGCACGCGCCAAATTGATCCCAAGACACATTCTTGGCCCCTTACTGAACGCAACTAGGTACTTACTTAGTGGCTCGCCATTCTTCGCCAACGCCTTTTCAAGCCAGCGCTCGGGCATGAACTCATGCGGCTTGTCCCAAATGCGCGAGTCCGTGTGCGTGTAGTACGCCGTCATGCTAAAGTCGGCGCCGGCTGGGATAACGATGTCTTTGAACATGATAGGCTCTTTGCGAGACTTGCGCGCTGTGCGTGAGGAGATCCCAATTGTGATGCGAAGGGTCTCGTTGACGATTGCGCTGAGGTACGGCAATGCTTCCAGAGTGGCTAAAGACGGGGTCACGTGTGGGTCTGGAAACACAGTGCCTAGTTCTGCACGTAGCCTTGTCGCAATAGCCGGGTTCTCGAGGATGTAGAATGTCGCTTTGGACAAGGCGGTTGATGTTGTTTCGACGCCGCCTGCAACGATGGACCCGCCTGAACATGTGAGTGGATAGTTCTGAGTATGAAGGTGGGCGGGCTTACCTTCGTGCTTGAGTCTCTCAACCGCCTTTTCTTCGGTAGGCAGATCAGTGTCGAGAAGCTCGCTAAACACCGTTTTATGTCCGACATCCTTGTGTGCGTCGTTGGATCCAGACTTGATGGCGCGGATTTGGTCTTCGATTTCCTGGGTGGAGTCAGCACCTACAATTCCATCAAAACTCCACGAGACCTACCCCATGGAATCCAAAGATAGCGCCCATGGCTGGATTCATCGCCACCGACCACCTTTGGGGGAGCGCCTGCAGCAGAGACAAGAGCCATGGGAAGTGGCCCATGGTATGCAGCGTCGTTGCGAGTTCCTTCGCCGCGTTGGTGAAGGGCGCTTCGAAGTTCGGATCTTCCATGTACTCGAACGAGCGCGCAAAGGCGTAGTGCGTGATGACGTCGAATGTCATGGCTGTGAAACAGTTGTTCATAATGGCTGGTCTGCCCGAACCCGCGAACTCGGTTTCCAGCCGATCACACAGTCGCTGCGCCTTTTGACTGATGAAGTCAGTGATGCCCGATATCTTCTGCTTCGAGAAGAATGGCGCCACCGCCGACCGGCGCATTCGGTGGCTGTGGGGTGTCAGTTGATACTATTTCGGTGGGTGACTGCATGCTGCCTTACTGTTGATGCTCGATAGTGTCGAAACTCGAATGGGGAATACCAGTTCGATATTTCCACTCGATTTTCTTGTCGAACTGAGAGTTGCTGGCGAACAGGACCTGCACGAAATCCGGATCTGCGATGTGTACCTCCCAAGGGTTGATGCGCACGATTGGACCTGTCATCAATCAACGTATGCCCAGTTGATGAAGGACTAGATCGGAAGACGAACCATATCTTTCATGCCATTCTCCGAGCTTGAAGATCAATTGACCGCCCCGAAAGACATCGTGGTATGTTTCTACCCATCCCGTGACTGCGGCAAGCTTGGGCCCAGGAAATTTGGACAACGGACTCAAGAGAAGGCGGTATATCGCAAGCGATGTTCCCCACAGTAAGAGGAGAGTTGCAAGCAAAATCAAGCGCAGTGTTGTGCTAGACAAAGACCGCTGGAATTCTTCAAACTGCTTGAAAGTCATGTTGGGATTATGCAGCGTCTTGCGACTGATGGATTTCGCTAGAGACCTGAGCTCCTCATGTTTGATGCCTTGCTTGCCAATATCTGGTGCCATACGGGAAACGTCGGTCATGTG